TTGTTATGCCCAGCTGTATCTTCCTCCACTATTTTCTTTTCTCCTTCTCCCATCACTTCTGGCAAAGAAATGGGTGACTTGCACTTTTTTTTAAATTTTGTTTCTAGCTAGAGCCCAAAGCTGTTGCTCTGCATAATCCAACTTCGCATTTGCAGAGCAATTCTGTAGGTTGCTTTGCTACTTGTTTACACAGCCATATGGTTTGTTCATTTCAGCTAATATGAAACAGAAGCTTCCATTGTGATTCAGATCAGGAACTTCTGGGTTGGCAGTACATCTTCCAAGGCAGATAATAGAAGTGGATATTTTTGCTAGTTATATCATAGCAATTGTATAATTAAAAAACAAAAACAAATCTGGGCAGGAACGAGGGAGAATCTTAGTTGCAGTCATAGGACAAAAATCAAGTATCCAGATTTTGTTTTCTTTAAAAATATTTTCATTACTTCTGTCTGAATTTAGGAAATGTAGTATGTCTGTAATGGTTTGAGCTCCAGCCTCTTGGTGATACAAATAGCTTTCATGTCAATTTCAGACAAAGAACTCGTCCTTATGTAGGCATTTATGTCTATTCCTCCGGTTCTCGAGTTAGCAAAACGAAAACAAAAAAACATGCTGATGTAAATTGTGCAGTTCTGATGGCCAAGTCCTACTCTGTCAAAATGATGGGGCAGGAGACTGATGCTGTTCTTAGTTCAATACAAGCCAATTTATGGGCAACAACCAGGGGTAAAGTCCAGCAGGTTCTGACAGGTTCTGGAGAACCGATAGCGGACATTTTGAGCAGTTCGGAGAACCAGTAGCAAAAATTTTGAGTAGTTCGGAGAACAGCAAACGCCACCTTTATCTGGCCCCCGAGTGGGGTGGGAATGAAGTTTTTGCAGTATCCTTCCCCTGGAGTGGGGTGGGAATGGAGATTTTGCAGTATCCTTCCCCTGCCACACCCACCAAGCCACACCACACTCACCAAGCCACGCCCATAATTGGATTTCACCACTGGCAACAACTGATGGATTTCCGTGGCTACATATACCTTCCCGCCCATCATCACTTGCCTATGGAGAAAAACAACTACTAATTGGAGTTGCCTATGGAGAAAACAACTACTCTTTATCTTGAGTGAATGTGGGTGGGTGTCTATGCTGGAAGCTTTCAAGTTGTTTCAACAATAAATCACTTATCTGCTAATTTATCACTTGGACATTTTTTAAAAAAGAGGCCTATCATTCTTCTAAAGCAGGGGTGTCAAATTCACTTTGTCACGATGGTGTCACATGATGTATCGGGTCTTTTTCCCCCTTCGCTAAACCGGGCATGGGTGTGGCCAGCACATGACACATCTGTTCCATGGGTCGGGTGTTTTGACAGCCCTTTTCTAAAGGATTGGCAACCCTACTAAACAAGAGCTTGGTGGACAAATGGTTAGAGTAGAGAAAGAGATGACTGGAGAAAAAATAGAGCTTATCGAACACATCTGTTAATATTCCCCCCAACATACACACACACACACACACACATCACTCCATTTCCAGGGAAATAGATAGAACTTTTATTAATTTCACTGAGGCCAAATATAACTAAAATTGATAAGTACTTAAGGGAATCCCAAAGGTGCTTTTACCTGGATGACTGAGAATCTCCATAGACCCTTAAGGGAATGGCGATGGTGACAAGGGATCGCTTTGGTTACAGCCCCCAGTAGCCTTTGTGAGAATGAAGGCTAGCAAAATCTTTAAAATTTAAAAAATTTAGAGCCAAATCAGGTTCCTTCCCCAAGATGCCTAATGCCCTATAACTGCTGCAGGAGAGAAATATATCTCTTAATTATAATTAAAGATAATCTGTAGCTAGCCTCAGTCTTGGGATATAAAAAGAAAGTACATGTTCAGTGTACATGTTCTGAATTTTAAATTGGCATTGTATATTAATTAAGATAGTTAGAGCTCGTCTAAGGTGACCCATATTAGTGGATTTAGTTGCTGGGAAAGTCCAGCTTTGGAAACCCTTTAAGTTTAAAATATTTTATCTGATACTGCAACCATGATTCCTGAATACAAATAACATAAAATTTACAATAACAACAAAATGAACATTGTCCATATTTCTGTTCAAGAACTATCCTGCCATATCCGGACCAAGAAGAATAAAACAGTTCTGGAAAGGGTTTATTTGTTTGTCGCATTTTTAAATCACTCTTTTACCCTCACAGAGTCAGAAAACAGTTAACAGGAAAAAGAAAATCCTAAGGCTTGCCTGGTATTGTTTTATGAATAGGATTTAAATCTGTCCTGAAGATTAGAAGGACCTATATCCCTAGCCAATATCCCTAGCTAGCTGGTTTTGGAGATTTCCCTCCTTCTAGGTAAGAGACTCAATTGTTCAGGGGGCTATTGCACTGAATGTAGAACTCTGGTAAGATTCTGTACACTTTGATACAAAAATTAAAATCTTTTGGCTCAGAATCAGCAGATTGTGAAACTGTTAAGACCAATTGTAGTCCATGATGTCTCTGTCGGGCCAGCACTTAAGGCCAGTTCTTCTTGGTTTGATAAAGTGTGGAAAAGCCTATTATCTATCTTGTTGAACATAATCCTATGTTTGTATACCGATAGTCTTTGACTTACAACAGTTCATTTAGTGACCTTTCAAAGTTACAACAGCATTGAAAAAAGTTACTTATGACCATTTTTCACACTTATGACCATTGTAGCATCCCCATGGTCACATGAATAAAATTCAGATGGCAACTGATTCATATTTATGATGGTTATGATTTATGATGGTTGCAACGTCCCAGAGTCCCAAAAGTGATCCCGTTTTACAACCTTCTGACAAGCAAAGTCAATGGTTCACTTAACAACCCTATTACTAATTTAACAACTGCAGTGATTCGCTTAACAAATGTAGCAAGAAAATTCGTAAAATGGGGCAAAACTCACTTAACAGCATAAAATTGGGGTTCAATTGTGGTCGTAAGTTGAGGACTACCTGTTTGCTTTGTTCTGCTTATTTTTCAGTATAATTTGACTTTAGTTTTGTAACCTGGTTTATTACAGCATTAAGTGCTACATGCAAACTGTTGGATATTTATCCTATGGTTGGGTAGGTAATATATAGAAAAACTATGTTTGTAACTTTAAATGTTATAAGAAGAATGATTGGCTGTGCTATTATCAGGCAGCCATAAAGGTAGACAGGAAGCCAGGGAGCTCCTGCTCCTGCTATTTGATGATTGATCTTCTGAAGAGGGACTGTGTGTGACTGAAGAGAACTGTAAGCAAACTATGTTTTGTGTTGGAGAGTGATTATTCGAAGATGTGTTATCATTGTTTTGAGAAACCAAGTTTGTTTTTTCACTAAGAGTAAACAATGTTTTTTCTTTTTCACCGTTTAGAGTCTGTGAGTATCTGTGTGTTTAACCAGCAACGTATCTCTTTGCTGTCCGGTCTGTTGCCTACTATGCAGAGGGAAGTTTTACCCTCAACACAAACATTTTTAAACCAAGCTGAATTGGGGTAGGAAATGATGCCTCCCCCTTGCCTCCAAAATAAAAATTGTAAAACATATAGCCACATAAAACTCCTTCTCAGCAGAAACAGTGACAAATACACAATGTGCTAATTTGGGGCAGAAGTTACAGTGGTTGGGAAAACAAAGGAAATATTTCAAAGTAGGACAAAGAAAGATCAGATTATTTCAATATTCTTTGGCAAGATTTTTCAACCGTGGCAACTTTTAAGATATATGGACTTCAACTCTCAAAATTCCCCAGCTAGCCTTTGATAAAATTCAGTTAAGTAATTTGGGGAAAGGAAGTTCAAACCATTCAAACTCCACTATAATAAGATCATAAGTAAATGAAGGCTGAAGTTTTAGTTATTTAATTCGTATGGGTTTTTTTTAATCCCACCCCCTTTTTTCTGGGATTAAGCCTGATTCAAGCAATTCAGTGCAAATTTTCCTTCCTTGATCGTGTGTTGCTATCAGGGGCTTGTCAAACAAGTTTTTCTGGCAAAATCCAAATCTTTCTTAATTTAAATTGACCTTCTGAGCCACTGCTCTATCCAGAGCTTTAGTCCTATTTTTAAATACAGGGTTAGTGGCCTTTCCACAGGCAGTTAGATTTTTTCAACTATTCACACCCAGCCCTGCCCCAGCTTTGCCCTCTCTTGTAAAGATTCACTGGTGGTCTACAGCGTCTTTAAAATTCCCTGATGGTTCCATTTATCAAATTAATTGCTGAGATTATGCTTTTTATTTCTTGGAAAAACAAATAAAATAGCCTCTGTGAATACTTCAATCAACATCTGTTTTTATTGACAAATTTATTTATTACTTTCCTGGGGCCTATATGCCACTCCCATCCAACAGGAATGTGAATAGTTTACATTCTCTTTGATAGTAAAAGCATTAAAATACAATAACATTATAAAAACGAAATAATAACATAAAGCGATAACTACCTTGTTTCCCCGAAAATAAGACCCTGTCTTATATTTTTTTTTGAACCCCAAAATAAGTGCTTGGCCTTATTTTCGGGGAGGTCTTATTATTTTGGGGTGCATGGAGCAAGATGAGGCTCCTCTTGCCGTCTTTCCTGATTTCCAGCTCTGCGTTTAAATATTTTTGGGGAGGGCTTATTTTCAGGGGGAGGCTTATTTTAGCGCATGCGCTCAAAAGCCCGATTGGGCTTATTATCAGGGGATGTCTTATTTTTGGGGAAACAGGGTATCCAAAAATACTTTTAAAAAACAACAACTGAAGCCTGGCATTCTCTCACCAACTCCAGCAGTTCCCGTAACCTGCATGTTTTACCAGGAAATAAAAGGGAAAAAATGATAAGAAGGACATATATTCTATTGTACCATCTCCTGGCACTGTAATGTTGAACTGTGTGACTAGGGAGATTAGCCCTTCCTCTCCACCTCCTTTGTGGGGAGAGAAACCAATGTGTTAGCCCTTTGAGATAGGCCAGATCAGGAAACAAGACAACACAAGGGTTAGAGGAATGTTACTTTATTTTGTAAAATATATGAACAGAACTGAAAATCTGCTAAACAAGCACAAAATGAAGTTTCTAAAGATTTTCCTCTTCTCTTCTCTTTTCCCAAGACTGAGTTGAAACATTTGTAACACCTCTTGTGCATTTTCTGAGTGATGTTTCTTGTTTTAGGTTCCTTCCCATTTCTGAATATGTGCACCTGAGCTTGCCCTAGGAAGGAGATTATTATTTGATACATTAGTATGTGATAGCATATTGATGTATTTGCATGGTAGACAGGATAGGACATTGTATGTGAAAATGCAGTTTTAATAAATTTATATTTTTCAGCAATGCCAGTTTATCTGATCAGCTGGATAAATTAATTGCTGAAAAGAATATTTTAATAGATTAGAGATGTTTAAAATGTTACACTAAATACAAGGTTAATACATTATGTGTAATAAAGGTATATGTATTCAGCTTAGAGGGAAATTATTAATGCCATTTCGTGGAACTCTGTCAGTGCCTTTATTAATGTCCTGGATGAAATGATTGACAGGATGACTATCAAACTTGCAAATAGCCAGCGATGGTGCCATCACTGGCTATTGGGGGCGAGTCATTGGTCCCCACGGAGAGGGTTAGCAACTTGGGTGTCCTCTTGGACGCGCGGCTGTCTTTAGAAGAGCATATGACGGCTGTGGCCAGGGGGACTTTTTATCAGGTTCGCCTGATCTGCCAGTTGCGTCCCTTTCTGGATTGGGACTCCCTGCACATGGTCACTCATGCCCTATCACTTCCCGACTGGACTACTGCATGCTCTCTACAATGGGCTCCCCTTGAAGAGCATCCGGAGGCTCCAGCTGATCCAAAATGCAGCCGCGCGGGTGATTATGGGAGCGGCAGGGCACTCCCATGTAACACCTCTCCTGCGTGAGCTGCATTGGCTCCCAGTGGTCTTCTGGATGCAATTCAAGGTGTTGATTAACATCTTTAAAGCGCTCCATGGCTTAGGACCTGGGTACTTACAGGACTGCCTTCTGCTACCGACAGCCTCCCACCGGCCAGTATGCTCCCACAGGGCAGGCCTCCTCAGGGTGCCGTCGGTCAGACAATGTCGATTCGCGACCCCCCAGGGGAGAGCCTTCTCAATGGGGGCTCCTGCCCTCTGGAACAAGCTGCCCCCGGAGGTACGGAGGATCCCGGACTTGTGCACCTTCCACCGTGCCCTGAAGACTTTGTTATTCCAGCAAGCCGGGCTAGCCTAATTTTAACGGTTTAAAATTTTAAATTGGATTTTAATGGGATGTTTTTAATTGTGGGCCAAAGCATTTAATCTGGTTTTAAATTGTTTTTAACTTTTATATTTATGTATTTGATCTTGGCTGTTCACTGCCCTGAGTCCTTCGGGAGAAGGGCGGTATATAAATATAATAAATGAATGAATGAATGAATGAATGAATGAATGAATGAATGAATGAATGAATGAATGACACAAAACTAGGAGAGGCTAACATTTTGAAAGAGAAAGAGAAGGTCCCAAAAGATCTAACTAGGCTTCAACAGCTGGTTGATACAACAGGATGAAATCTAAGAAAGAAATGTAAAATGCTACATCTGGGGATAAAAAGAAAATCGAAGGCGCAAGGACTGGAGAGACCTGTCTTGGCAATTGTACAGGTAGTCTTCAGATTACGATGGCAATTGGACTAGGATTGCCATCACTAAGCAATGTGGTTTGTTGTAAGAAATGTCCATCTGGGTTAAGTTCCAAGCAGGAAGAAAGACACTGGGAACATGGAGACTGCTTGGAAGGATGGTTTAATGGTAAAGCAGAACCACCAAGCATGTGTGATTCTGAGTAACTGACCACATGGAGGATATATATACATATACATACATACAGTCAGGTCCAGAAATATTGGGACATCGACACAATTCTAACATCTTTGGCTCTGTACACCACCACAATGGAGCTGGAATGAAACAAACACAATGTGTGTTAACTGCAGACTGTCAGCTTTAATTTGAGGGTATGTACATCCAACTCAGGTGAACGGTGTAGGACTTACAGCAGTTTGCATATGTGCCTCCCACTTGTTAAGGGACCAAAAGTAATGGGACAGAATAATAATCATAAATCAAACTTTCCCTTCTTAATACTTGGTTGCAAATCCTTTGCAGTCAATCACAGCCTGAAGTCTGGAATGCATAGACATCACCAGACACTGGGTTTCATCCCTGGTGATGCTCTGCCAGGCCTCTACTGCAACTGTCTTCAGTTCCTGCTTGTTCTTGGGGCATTTTCCCTTCAGTTTTGTCTTCAGCAAGTGAAATGCATGCTCAATGGGATTCAGGTCAGGTGATTGACTTGGCCATTGCATAACATTCCACTTCTGTCCCTTCAAAAACTCTTTGGTTGCTTTTGCAGTATGCTTTGGGTCATTGTCCATCTGCACTGTGAAGCGCCGTCCAATGAGTTCTGCAGCATTTGGCTGAATGTGAGCAGATAATATTGCCCAAAACACTTCAGAATTCATCCTGCTGCTTTTGTCAGCAGTCACATCATCAATAAATACAAGAGAACCAGTTCCATTGGCAGCCATACATGCCCACGCCATGACACTACCACCACCATGCTTCACTGATGAGGTGGTATGCTTAGGATCATGAGCAATTCCTTTCCTTCTCCATACTCTTCTCTTCCCATCACTCTGGTACAAGTTGATCTTGGTCTCATCTGTCCATAGGATCTTGTTCCAGAACTGTGAAGGCTTTGTTAGATGTTGTTTGGCAAACTCTAATCTGGCCTTCCTGTTTTTGAGGCTCACCAATGGTTTACATCTTGTAATGAACCCTCTGTATTCACTCTGGTGAAGTCTTCTCTTGATTGTTGACTTCGACACACATACACCTACCTCCTGGAGAATGTTCTTGATCTGGCCAAATGTTGTGAAGGGTGTTTTCTTCACCAGGGAAAGAATTTTTCGGTCATCCATCACACTTGTTTTCCGTGGTCTCCCAGGTCTTTTGGTGTTGCTGAGCTCACCGGTGCATTCCTTCTTTTTGAGAATGTTTCAAACAGTTGTTTTGGCCACGCCTAATGTTCTTGCTATCTCTCTGATGGGTTTGTTTTGTTTCTTCAGCCTAATGATGGCTTGCTTCACTGATAGTGACAGCTCTTTGGATCTCATCTTGAGAGTTGACAGCAACAGATTCCAAATGCAAATAGCACACTTGAAATGAACTCTGGGCCTTTTATCTGCACATTGTAATTGGGGTAATGAGGGAATATCACACACCTGGCCATGGAACAGCTGAGAAGCCAATTGTCCCATTACTTTTGGTCCCTTAACAAGCGGGAGGCACATATACAAACTGCTGTAAGTCCTACACGGTTCACCTGAGTTGGATGTACATACCCTCAAATTAAAGCTGACAGTCTGCAGTTAACGCACATTGTGTTTGTTTCATTCCAACTCCATTGTGGTGGTGTATAGAGCCAAAGATGTTAGAATTGTGTCGATGTCCCAATATTTCTGGACCTGACTGTACATACATACATACATGCATGCATACATACATACATATATATATATTTATGTAAGTTTTCACGGGTATATATGTGTGTACAGTTAATATTTCGGGTTTCTTCCTGTGTAATTGTAAACATATCCTTAAAAGGGTAGTAGCGATGTTTCGACGAAACCGCATTCGTCATCTTCTGGCTGAAGTTCTCGGTTTGGTGCTTATGGGCAAACTGTGTGATCGTAACTGACGTTTTTCTATGAAAAGAGGCAAAGGTGTATTCTGATTGGTCGACAGTGTTGTTGTATTCTGATTGGCTGATGACGTAGCTGTATTTTGATTGGGTGGAAGCGCTGTTGCTCGGTTGTGGGTTAATGGATAAGTTATGCTGGAAATGGTGGCAACACAGGCATTATGATAAATCTTTGATCTATGGTTTATATTTTGTGTTATTAACACAGGAGGATATTGTAAAATCTCCATTCCCACCCCACTTCAGGGAAAGATTACGGCAAAATCCCCATTTCCTCCCAACCAGCTGGGTCTTGGGAGGCAGAGAATAGATGGGGTGGGGCCAGTCAGAATTTTTACTACCGGTTCTCCGAACTACTCAAATTTTCCACTACCAGTTCTCCAGAACTGGTCAGAACCTGCTGAAACCCACCTCTGATTTATACCCTCTCCTGGGCCCCGCCTTAGAGCCTCCTGTTCCTGTGTAAGGGCAGGTATACCATTGGTTGCTGTAGGGGTCATGTGCAAATCCTAGGAGTTTGTCTGTTTTTTTTTATTTTTATTTTTTATTTATTTTTATATGCCGCCCTTCTCCGGAGACTCAGGGCGGCTTACAATGCATTAAGCAATAGCCTTCATACTTTTGTATATTTTATACAAAGTCAGCTTATTGCCCCCACAAACCGGGTCCTCATTTTGCCCAGCTTAGAAAGGATGGAAGGCTGAGTCGACCTTGAGCCTGGTGAGAATTGAACTTGCAGTAATTGCAGGCAGCTGGATGTTAAATTGGTTGAACTGTGGGCTGATGTAATGTCCCTAGGTGATTTCGCAATGCAGTGAGCCCTGCTGTTAAATGGGTAGAGGGCTAATCCTATCATCTCCTGAGGGCCATGTCTTAATCCCATCACTCTGGAACTGAAGGGGGGGGGATGGGGAGTTGCAGGGAGCTGCTTTGTCTTTAAAAACATGTTTCTCCTTTTCTCATCTCATATAATATTCTGCCTTTTTAATATTTCCTAGAATATTTCATTCTTCTAAGAGGGGTGGGTGTTAACTTTCTTCAGGTTCATGGCATCACATGACTGCATTGCATAGCAGCAATCATGGCAATTCTGGTTACCATCATAAGCAGAATACACATGGGTCTTTCACCAGGAAGCAGCAGGAATCCTATGTAAGGAGGATGGGACTGCCATGGGGGGTGGGGGAGGTGCAACACAAGGCTTATGCAAGCCATGGAAATTACTGGAGTAACTTGCGACCTTCCCTGCTGGTTTCCCCTTTGACTTATGGGAAGTCAGCAAGGAAGGTCGTAAATGGTGATCAAGTGACCATGTGGCACTACAACCATCCTAAGTGCAAGCTGTTTGCCAAGCACCCAGATCACGGTCATATGACAATGGGGGTGATGTGATGGCCAGAATTTTGAGGAGCAGTTGCAAGTACCACTCCATTCAGCATCACTGTAACTTCAAGAAGTTGCTGAATGAGTGGTCAGTAAGCAAGGACTACCCACATATGAGAAGATCTGGATGTTCCAACCAATCACAGACTGAATATCTAAGCCAACAATGTGATGTAGCTTCTAAATAGCAAATGCTATTTGGGGATGTATTAGCAAGAAATTGGAGAAAGTAGAAAGTAGGAAATAATTATCCCACTCTTTTTTGCCTTGGTCAGAACCCACTTGGAATACCATATTCTGTTCTAAGCACCACAAAGGTGTTGGTTACCACCTTTAAAGCGCTCCATGGTTTAGGGCCTGGATACTTACAGGACCGCCTGCTGCCACTGACAGCCTCCCACCGACCGATACGCTCCCACAGACAGGGCCTCCTCAGGGTGCCGTCGGCCAAACAATGTCGACTGGCGACTCCCAGGGGGAGAGCCTTCTCTGTGCGGGCTCCTGCCCTATGGAACGAATAGCCCCCAGACATACGAAGGATCCTCGACTTCCGTGCCTTCCATTGTGCGCTGAAGACCCTGTTATTCCAACAAGCCGGTTTGATGGGACAATAATTTTAATCGGGTTTTAAATATGGGTTTTTAATATGGTTTTATAAGGGTTTTAGAATGGGAATTTTAAATTCGGCCAAAATTGAATTATTTTAATATGGTTTTTAAACTTGTCTTGTATATTGTTTTATTATGGCTGTTCACCGCCTTGAGTCCTTCGGGAGAAGGGTGGTATAGAAATATAATGAAATAAATAAATAAATAAACAAACAAACAATAAATAATAATAATAGTAGCAGTACTAGTAGTAACAATAATAATAACAATAATATATTATTATATTATATTATATTATATTATAATATTATTATATTATAATATTATATTATATTATATTATATTATATTATATTATATTATATTATTAATTATATTATATTATATTATATTATATTATATTATATTATTATATTATATTAATTATATTATATTATATTATATTATATTATATTATATTATATTATATTATATTAATTATATTATATTATATTATATTAATTATATTATATTATATTATATTAATTATATTATATTATATTATATTTGTCACTTAGAACACAACATGCCAGATATCACAGTTGTCGAAAATCGAAATGTACAATTTATTGACAATTTATTGGTACCAGGAGATGCCAGAGTCGAAGAAAAAGAACTGGAAAAAATTATGAAATATCGTGACCTGGCCATTGAAACTACACGGCTATGGATGAAACATGTAACAGTGATACCCATTGTCATCGGGAGACTTGGTACTATGTCCAAGAATTTTATAAGATACATCAACGAATTGCAGCTTCCTGCAATAACACCAGCGGAACTGCAAAAAACTGTGCTACTTGGAACATCGTACATCTTAAGAAGGTATTTGGTTGATACCTAGGATGCTGGCAGCAACCCGTATCAATCAATCATTAGCACCAGTCAATGGTATTTGTGATGCATTTTTTGAATGTTCAGTTGACTGTTTCATATTTAATGAATAATAATAATAATAATGAAGAAGAAGAAGAAGAAGAAGAAGAAGAAGAAGAAGAAGAAGAAGAAGAAGAAGAAGAAGAAGAAAAAGAAAAAGAAAAAGAAAAAGAAAAAGAAAAAGAAAAAGAAAAAGAAAAAGAAAAAGAAAAAGAAGAAGAAGAAGAAGAAGAAGAAGAAGAAGAAGAAGAAGAAGAAGAAGAAAGAAGAAGAAGAAGAAGAAGAAGAAGAAGAAGAAGAAGAAGAAAAAGAAAAAGAAAAAGAAGAAGAAGAAGAAGAAGAAGAAGAAGAAGAAGAAGAAGAAGAAGAAGAAGAAGAAGAAGAAGAAGAAGAAGAAGAAGAAGAAGAAGAAGAAGAAGAGCAGTGATGAAATCCAATTTTTACTACTGGTTCTGTGGGTATGGCTTAGTGGGCGTGGCAGGGGAAGGATCCTGCCACCCCAGTCTGAGGCCAGCCAGAGGTGGTATTTGCCGGTTCTCCGAACTACTCAAAATTTCCGCTACTGGTTCTCCAGAACCTGTCAGAACCTGCTGGATTTCACCCCTGACTTGGAGCCAATTTAGAACACGGCTACCAAGCTGATAAGGCAGCTGGTCACATTTAGTCTGCAGAAGAGAAAACTGAGCAGAGATTCGATAGCAGTCTTCAATATTTAGCGTTATTTTAAATTACAGCTTTCCTTTTCCTTCTCTGAACTAAAAAACGCATGATATGGATTAAGAGCTGCAAAGCTGCCTAACGTTGAAATACATCTCGAAATATTGCACAGCGAAATCTTGACAAGGCAAGAAGGGAAACCTTCGCTTTCTTACATTTACCTTCTTCTGATTGGCCAGAGCTGCCACCGGTGATCGCCTTGACTTCTCTGTCACATCGGCCCTTGAGACCCAGATCTCCGGCAGCGACTGAGCTTTTTTTTTTTCCCCTCTCTGCACCACGTGGGGGCGCTGTGCTCTGCTCCGTGACCGCTAAACTCCGGAAGACGGCGCTCCTTTTACCTCTTTAACACTGTTGTAGAATTTTTCTCTCCCGCTCGTGCGGCAGGAAGAGGCGGAGATTGAAGGGAGGGAGCCACGTTTCAATAACAAGCCTCCCTATTAGTGGTAATTCTTGAGTTTACCCAATAGGAGAACCCTTTGCTCGAATGTGGGCCGTCTAAAAACGCCATCTTACTTCTTGTTCAGAGTGCTGAGCTGTACGTTCCCGGTCCGAGCGTGAGGGACCCAGCTATGCCGCTTTACCAGACCTGGGAGGAATTCACTCGCGCCGCGGAGAAACTCTACTTGTCCGACCCACTGAAGGTACTTGGGCGTGGAGGAGAAGTCGGCGGGAATTCGCTCAAAGGTTGAGCAGAAGGAAGAGGGGTTGGTGGGTGTCTTGAGTCTCGACTTGCATGGTTTGTGGGGAGGGGGGGGGGCATTTACCATTTTAATGTAAACCACTAGACCAGTTTTCCAACTCTGGTGGTGCCGAAGTAGCAATAATTGCTGGCTTTTCTGTAGTTGGCAACTATAAAAAAGCTTTAATTTCGCTCAGAGTGGAAAGACATTAATCAGAAGTTTTGATTATTATTATTTTTTTTGCCATGTATTGAATTTGTGACAGTTGAGTGTATTGCAAATCTACTCATCTCTCTTTATCATGTTTCCTGGCAGGACTAAATTCGGAAGTAACTCTTCTGGTATAAAATGTTCCCTTTTATTTGTATCCATTTCATGTATTCATAATCATGTTTATACTTATATCTGTTATCTAATACATGCTTGACAAAATGAAAATAAATGTATGTATGTATGTATGTTATAGTAAAGATAGGAAGTCTTCCGAACTTCTAGTGTTTTGGGTATTTGAATATCAATATTTCACTATTGAATGAACATACTCTCTTTGGTAGCAGCTGTTGCAGAGAGTTGTACAAAACCTCCTAGGCAACCAGCTCCTGTATGGTTATGCAGTATTGTGTAAAGGAGAACCATTTGTTGGTTTTGTTCATTTCAAGTGTGCCTTGGTTGGGAACTCTCATCAGATGAAAAAGCGCTAAAGGTTAAAATGCTGTGTGTAACTGGCGTTAAAGCAGATTTGTAAATAGCCGTGTTTTTTTTAACTTGTGGAAGTGTACATTGATGCTATTTTATTTTTTTATAAAATGATTTTTTGTGTCATTTCAGGTCCGAGTTGTACTCAAGTACCGACATTGTGATGGGAATCTGTGTATTAAAGTAACAGATGATGTTGTTGTAAGTAAAACCTAGGTGATATGATTTACAATTTTAAATTCTCAGAGTCCAAATTTTCAATATTGTTTTAACAGAAAAATTGGTTGATGTATCAGCTGATTTACTGAATACTTCTCAAAGAAGCAGTTGTATAAACTTAGAGGCATTCAAATCATTTTTATAAGATGCGGTGTTTTTAGAGTTAGTGCTTTGGCATTTTAAAATTCTAAAGCAGTATCTCAGAATAAATGTGAATTTTTAGAATCTTAATACCCAGAGTTATGTATGGTGCGCGGCCATAAAAATCTTTTAAATAAGTATATAAATAAAAAAGCATTTACCTACTGTTTCACACATAATCAAATGTCTTAGGCCCAGTACTCTTCAACAGCTTCATAAATTATTTAGATGAGGAGGTAGAAGAGAAACTCATCAAATTTTCAGACAACACCAAGCTGGCGGGAATAGCCAACACCACAGAAGATAGGCTCAAAATCTAGATGGATTTTGACAGACTTGAATATTGGGCCCTATCCAACAAAATGAAATTCAGTGTAAGATTCTACACTTAGGCAACAAAAGCCAAATGCCAGGTATCAAATAGGTGGTAACTGGCTCAACAGTAGTAACCTGAGAGGGATCTTGGTGTCCTAGTGGACAATTACTTAAATATGAATCAGCGATGTGCTTCAGCCAACAAACATATAAACATATTAACATATAAAAAAGATGTTGAGATTCTAGAAAGAGTCCATAGAAGAGCAACAAAGATGATTAAAAGATTGGAGTCTAAAACATGAACAGTTGCAGGAATTGAGTATGTCCAGTTTAATAAAAAGGATTAGGAGTGACATGATAGTAGTATCCCAATATCTAAGGGGCTGCCACAAATAAGAGGGAGTTAATATATTCTCCAAAGCACTTGAAGACACAACAAAAAGCAGTGGATGGAAACTAATCAAGGAAAGAGCCAGCCTAGAAATAATGAGAAATTTCCTAACAAAACAATCAGTCAGTGGAATGACTTGCCTTCAGAAGCGGTGGGTGTTCTATTGCTGGAGGTTTTTAAGAAGAGATTGGACATCCATTTGTCTGAAATAATATAGGTTCTCCGGCTTGAGCAGTGGGTTGGACTAGAAGACCTCTAAGGTTCCTTTCTGTTACTTATTAGGGAAGTGCAATCTTTGTATATATTTCATATATATTTTTAAACTGCTGAGAACATTCGTCTTTTAGATATCCTGATTAGAAGTAGCTGATTCTGCTTAAACTTTGCACTAAAGAACAATTTTTAATTAGATAGTCCTCAATTTACTACCAGAACTGAGCCCAACATTTCTGTTGCTAAGTTAAACATTAAGTGAATGTTGCCCCATTTTACGACCTTTCTTGCCATAGTAGTTAAGTGAATCACTGCAGTTAAAATAGTAACACAGTTATTAAGTGAATCTGGCTTTCCCAGTGATTTTGCTTGTCAGAAGTTCGCAAAAGGGGATCACATAACTATAACAAAATAATCTGATCCTGAGCAATTGCACTTCCTTTTTATATATTTTGTCCTCGTAATCACTGCTTCTCCTTTGTTAGGTCTTTCTGTCATAGCAGTTTATCTGCATTGTAAAACTATATTGCAACAGCTGTTTTATGTCCTCATGATATGAGAATAAAGAGCAAGTTATGTGTTTTAGACTTTTAAAAATGTTTGATTATGTGCCAATGTTAGATTGGATAGATAGATAATCAATGTTATCTATAGGTGATCACATGGATCGACCTCTCCTCTAATCTGACTCCAGCCTGGCCCTTCAGGTCTCCCAACAGTGCACCTATTGCTGTAGTAATCAAGGGCACTCACCTTGCTCTTGGTTATTTCCTCCCCCTTTTTTTCCCTAATGTTACGTACATCTGAACAGAGCAGTCTGCATAATGTATGCAAAATATGATTACTTGAACAATTTGTTCAAATGTCATTTGTGCCTTGAGTGAGAACTATGATCATGGCATCTGAATATCTTTTCCAAGATTTTCATAACCACCTTACCAAATTCTACTCTGTTGACAGCTGGCCCTTTTATTGTTGATCATTGATTCTGAGAAGCAGAAGCTATCTACCATATCACTGACTTTGTTGTCAATTCTAAGGCTGATTGCTCTCCCTGTTATCATTCATTTGGTCTTTATATTTAATTGTAGGCCCATTTTTTCATTGTGCTCATTGACTTCTATTAGTAGAACTTCCAGATCACTTACATCTATCAGACTAATGACATCAGCATTAGTGCAGGTTATTGATATTTCTTCCTATAATTTTAGTTACTCATCTTCTTCCAGTCCGGCCTCACTCAATATATTTTCCACATGTAGGTTGAATAAATAAGGAGAGAATATATAGCTTTGTCTCATTCCTTTGCAACTGTAAACAAGTTTTTAATTCTGTATAGACCAGTGTTGGCAAACCTTTTCGGCATCGTGTGCTGAAATGGGAGCACATGCATGCTGGGGAGCGCCAAAACCGGAAGAGCAGTTCTCCGGCACGCTTGTGTGTGCTAGAAACCTGAAGAGCAACGGATAACGGCTGGTGTGCCCGGAGAGATGGCTCTGCTTTCCACTTCCAGCACACATGCCATAGGTTCACCATCACTGGTATAGACTGTGGCTTTCCTTCCTGTGTCATATAAAGTATGGGCTTTGTATGAAGAAGTTGAGGTGTTTTTGGATTCTCATTTTCCTAAGGACATTCCATAACATAACGTGGTTGACATAATTGAAAGCCTTTCTATAATCAGTAAAGCATATATTGACTTAGTTTTGGTATTGTTTGGCTTTTTCAGTTAACCAGAATGCATCAGCGATGATGTCTATTCTTCCTGTCTATTCTTTTCTAAAACCAGCTTCATCATTCCACATTTCTATGGCTATAATCTGCAGAGAAAGTGAGAAAATGCTAACATGTGATATTGTATGATAATTTGCACATTCTGTTAAGTCTTCTTTGATTGTGGTATTTAGACTAAGCTCCAATAGGGTTGTGTCAGTCTCCAGGTTTGCTGGTATAGTTGAGTTAGAACTGATTTGTCTTCTGTTGCTTGTCACATTTCTGTAGCCTTCTCATTTAGTAATGACCAGTGTGCTCATCTAATTTCATTTGGTTGTACTAAGAATTCATGTGAACAGGGAATATCTTCTTAAATTTCTTGGTTGTCTTAAATATGTACAGAATTTCAGTACTGTACACAGTAATCCCCAAATTGACAGTCGTAATTTGAGCTTGACAATCAAAGTTATAAATTGAGATAATCAGAAAGTGGGTCACCATGTGACCAGAACCAATTCTACAATCTTTTTCATGGTGGCTGTTATGGAAACTGTGCAGTCATTAAGCAAATGCTGCAGTTGTTCATGGTTTGCTATGGACCAGTTTTTGCTGGAAACAGGAAGTAAATACTGGTTTCCAGCAAAACTGTTGAAAATCGTAATCATATGACCATTGGACATTGCAAACGTCTGTAAATGTGGGCTGCTCAAAATGTGATCATGTGGGGAGATGATGTTGGAACTGTGCCATAAATAGCTTTTTTGGGGGGTTGATGTCTGTGAGAACTTCAAATGGTTAAGTGACCAGTTGTAAATCAAGGACTTCCTGTATTTCTTCTGTATGTTTGACTTCTCTGAATCTGTTACTACTCATCTATTAACCTTGAGCATATAAGTTTGAGATTGGAATCTCCTGAGTTTGAGGATCTTTTGGAAGACTTTTCTTATTTATTCCATTACTGTTTAAATCTTTAGTATCTTTATAGATGTCATTTGTAATATGGTTTCTTGTTTTTTAAAACAATAGTTCTCTGAAATTGTTAAATATGTTCTTGAAATCTTTGATATTCTTGGCTTTAACTTTGCTTCTTCGCTTCTGTCATTATTGTGATATCAATTTTTATTTCTTCTGTTTCTTGGTTCTTGACAATTTCTTTTCACATTAACTTATTTATTTCATTTTGTTTATCATATTTAAGACCCATTTCCATCACAGAGGGATTCTGGGTGGTGTACAATAAGATTTAATTCCACAGTTCCTCTGGTTGTCAAGTCATTGAGTTCAGGTTTTAAAATGAATCCTGATGTTCTTAAAAATGCTGGGTATATTTTTAAGACCACACTATAGAAAGTGATTGGCTTTATTCATTTAGCATGTTGAATGCAGTTGAACCTGAGAGCTTATCACATAGCACTGGATCATCAAATCACTTTTTATTGTTTATCCAGGTGGTTTTTATTTTTGACAAAATAGAGGAGTTCTTTTATCATTGCTTTTTCCAGCATAGTATTGAAATGGTGCCTTTGCTAAATTGTTCTTCCTACATTACTGTTCTTCCTACATTGCTGTTGCCCAAAAAAGGTGCCTCTTTGGGGCAGCGGGGGGTGGGGGTGTGTGGAAGATCTTAATGTCATGGGTGATCCTGCTGGGAAAATGTAGTCTTAACATAATCCTGGCATTCTTTGTGTATCCCTCCCAGAAACATTCCCTCACTGCCACAATGAAGTAGCATAGCAGGACTGTGTGTGTGTGTTTAAAAATATGTTCAGATAAATCCTGATTAGTCTTTTCTCTGTGCTTTTTTTCTTTCAGTGTCTACTCTATAGGACAGATCAGGCTCAAGATGTAAAGAAAATTGAGAAATTCCACAGTCAATTAATGCGACTGATGGTAGCCAAAGAATCCCGCAGTGTTGCCATGGAAACAGACTGAATATCTGGAAATAAAATGAATGTTCTAGTCACGTATCACAGGAGGAATGTATCTGTTGGATTTGGGCATATTTGGAATGGACACACGATGGCATCAAGTGGACTATTAAAATTGAGTTTTGTAAGGATTTGGGGGCTCCACTTCAGAGTGGCTGGTAGACTATATGCTTTCATTGAAAGCTTCTATTTATTTTTCTTTCAATTTGAGTGAGGAAATATATATATGTTCTTTCCTGGAATTCTTAAAGGTTAAAGTATACTCAGTCAGATTTATAACTTCCTTTCTTAAATCTTTAGGACATTGCCTAAAAATGGAAGGAGTACTCTGGTGGGTTGAAGAATGCTGTTATATAGAAAGGGGGTTGTGGAATTTTATGTTCTGTTAAATTAGCGATGTATAATCTTTATATATTGATGTATTATTTAGTTGGCAAATAACATCTGATAAAATGTTCTGGAAAAACAAGGATGCTTGCGAATCAATTCAAATGTCTAGACTTAAAGATTCAGAACTGATTCTTGCTTCATAACCATATAAACTGAAATACATGTTCCGTTGGTTAACAGCCAATGCTAAAAACAGCTATTTCTACTGTATTTAAGATTCTGGCAAAGACACGGTCGGTGAGATGGGCAGCATACAAGTTTGATGAATAAATACCATGTTTCCCTGAAAATTAGACCCTGTCTTATATCTTTTGCCACCAAAAAAGGCACCAGGTCTTATTTTCGGGGGGGGGAAGAGTGGTGTCATCCACTGACTCACCTCATTTATGCACGTCACCCCCAGCCTCTTTTTCGCTATCAGAGCCCTTCAGGAACTTCGGCCAGCAAGGCTTTCCTGAAGGCCTCTGCAGCCGATAATAGAGTTCCGGATTGATCTGGAGCTCTGTAATCAGCTACAGAGGCTTTCAGGAAAGCCTTGCCAGCTGCAGAAGAAATGGGCCGAGGTGTGCGAGGCCTGGCTGCAACTGTCCAAAGGTAAGCAGTAGGACAGCTCCACCCCCCCATCCCCTAGCTTAATTAACCCTACCTTAATTTTTACCTGTGCACCCTGGAGTGGGCGTGGTTTTAATTAGGGCTTATTTTGGGCTCACATGTAAAAATCAAGCTAGGACTTACTTTCTGAGTAGTTCGTATTTTCGGGGAAACACGGTAGTTCAAATTGACTTTGATTTTGAACGATAGAAAGGAATAAAGATGTGCAGAACATTTGATCTTCAACTGCTCCAGATATAAAATTTCAGGAGTCATCCTGCTCCTAGTACAAAACTGAAACACTTCTGCAATGCTTGAAACACCTGTGTTTCACATTTGAATGAGACATTTTGCAAAATATGTTAAAATGGTTTAATGTTTACTTGTAGAAACACCTGAGGCATATGGATAGAGTTATGTGTAGAACTTTTAAATAACTGCTACAGAAACAAGGCCTTCAAGTGTCTTATAATTTCTTTTCATATGAAGTTCTCACTTTCAAATGCTAAATTAAGTAGCGGTCTATACATGGGATTATGTATTATTAAATACAGTTGATGACAAAAGCTTCACAATCATACAAAGTATAAAATGTTAGGCACAGCTTGCCAATAATAAAATTAATCTTAGATTGTTTTTCTGAAACTAGGAAATATTCACAAAGAAAATAATGCTCCAATATTTTACTATAGAGTTATCAGCTTCTCTAGGGAATTGCAATGATCAGAGATGTGCAAAGCTTACTGTTCCAGAGATGAAATGTTTTAGGAAATAAGGAAATTTTTAAAATTTGAATTATCAATCCAGCTATTTTTGTGGTGCATTTCTCTGAATTGTTGCTTTGAATATACAGTAGGAAGTTATATAGAGACATCAGAACTAATGTTTCTCATAACTTTATACTATTGGTTTAATTACTTTGAAGACCATCATTGCATGGGAAAGGGTTTAGTTTATTATATTCATAACAATATGATTATATTGTTATAAGAAACTGTTTCTCACTCTACTTGAGCTAGTTGGCTGTGAAATCCGTTTTGTAATTTCAGAACATGTAAATAAGTGAGCCCCTGTGGTGTTTTCTTTAACTAAAATATGCTGTTATAAGCTTATGAAGAAATATAATCTAGAAAAGCACTCTTCATACTTGAACTAATAAACTGCCCTTTAGAAACTAAATTCAAATTGGAAAACGAGCAGGAAGATACTAGTTTCAATTACTTTTTCCATTTGGGAAAAAAATGTCATAGCTTGAGTGGTCAAAAGTATTTCTTAACTACCGTAGTTTGTTTTACTATTTAAATACTGAACTAATTTAAAAAACTTACAGTAAGTGGAACCTGCAGTATGTAATGCTTCTAATTGGTATCACTCAGTATTGGGTTTCAAATCCCGTCGCTACTGGTTCACTCGTGGACGCTCGCCCACGATGCACCTGCGCATGTGCAGAGACGTCCGGGCAAGTGGTCCGCCACTAGTTTGCCCGATCTGGGGTGAACTGGTAGCAATCCACCACTGGTATCACCCATGCTATCTCCCAGGACACTCCATTCACCTTTATTTCCTCCCTTACCTGTCAGTCGACATTCTGTGCCCACTCAGCATGCTTAAAAAATCCTGGAGCATTCTCAAGAGCAATGTTCCTCAACTTTAAGAAAAGTGGACTTCAACTCCCAATGCTGGTTGGGGAATTCTGGGAGTTGAAGTTCACTTGTCTTACAGTTGCTAAGGTTGAGAAACACTGCTCTAGAGTGTTTTCCACAACAACAACAAGAAAAGTTACTTTCTAGCTGGGAATTTCCAGGATTGGTTTACACACACACATATACTATACACAAGCCTCAATCCTTTTTGTGGATTTTTGCACCAAAAATTGACACTTTTGCTGAAATTCATTGTATCTAGAAAGCAACAAATTTGAGAAACCTGATGAGAAGAGTCTTCTGAATACTCCAGACCATCATGAAATCAGTTTATTTGATTGATGAATACTCATTTCATGTGATTACTTCTGCTAACAAAATATGATTTTGAGAAAAAAAATCTGCCAGCTATTCAAAAAAGCAGATGCTGCTGTAGAAATAGGTTTATGAGAATGCTAATATATCTAATTTCCTTCCTTATGCTAAGTCACACTTCTGGAACACACCTCCCATTCAGGCATTCTCATCCTTCTCTCTCCCCCCCCGCCATCAATCTTGCATAAAATAAAGTATATTATTCATAGTTTTCCACTGTAATTTATAGGCCAAGTTTGTAATATTAGTAACATGTAAATATGAGTTTAAATAGTCTCCGGGGGATGGTAGAGGACAGGAAGGCCTGGAGGAAAGTTCTCCATGGGGTCACAATGGCTTGGACACAACTTCGCAACTAACAACAAAAATATATATCTTTCTTTACCTTTTCTTATAACTGAACAAGGTCAGGCCCAATGCTGAAGGCCCAATGCTGAAAGAGGATTTGTAAGATTTAGAAAAACAAACACAAGATCTATTTTAGATCTCTTGCCTCTTCCAGTTCTCTGTCCTTGTGTTTTTTTTTATCCTCCTTTTTTCCATCTTTTCATCAAAACCGCCCCAGGATATTTGGCTGCTTTGCAGTGAAGGATAAAATGGTACTAATTTATGGTATTAATTTCACATACGTGTGTGAACCGGGCAGTGGTTCAGGCAGTACTGCGCCATAATATAGGGACCTGCAGTCCAACGCCTTCAACCTCCGGGAGTTTAGGAGAAATGAGTGAAGACCTGGGCTGATCTTTACAACGCGGACCGAAGCAGGAGTTTCTTAAGAACTACATTTCCCAGGCTTCTTTAGATTTAAGCTTCCGTTCCCTGCCTTAACCGCGCCGGGCTTGGGTTGGAGGTGCTGGAGGGGAGGTTCTGACCTGTTTTTGGAAGGATGAGAGATTGATGTGATTGCGGGTTTTTACAGAGCTCTCACTTTGTAATGAAAATTTAAGCCTTCCATATATTGTGCATTCTCTCTTCTGTGTTGATTCCTTCCTCGCTGACAACATTCACACCGCTCGTCAATAGCTAAGCAGCCGCAGGGGAATCTTTTCGATCGTGGAAATGAGCTTCATATCTTGCTCAGGCAAGGGGATCGGGGGAACAACGTGGGCATATGGGTGGGGTAGTCCATCTCCCGCTACCGTTTCCTAACGCAGGACTATAATTGGGAGAAAACGAAGCGTGGCGTAGGTATCTGAGCCACGACACGATCTGAAAGTCTGAAAAGATTGTCTTTTTCCTCCCGATACGTGTTTTTTGCATTTACACGATTTTGTGTTTAAGTTTATGCTCTTGAGTCCCACAGCTTGTGCAAGTAAGTACTCGATTCTATGCCATTTGTAAAGTAACGACAGCAGAATTTAGGGGCTGAAAAGTCGCAGCCTCCTCTACGGTCATTGAGATTTAAGATTTACTTAAGAAATTTCAGGGTAGGGAGACGAATGCTTTTTAAAAAACAAAACAAAACAACAAAACAAGATGTAGGTTCCAGTGGCAATTTTAAAAAGCTTTAAATTGTCGGCGAAGATCTCAAGTTGGAAATAGATAAGTAGCCAATGTCAGCTAAACCTATCAACCCGAACCTCTATTTTATTAATTGGGTCACTAAAGTTCCTGTTAAGGCTGTTATTTTTTGATGTTCTGTTTTAACCTTGCCACCCCCAAATTCAGTGGTGTTGAGAAATCCTCCTCCTATTTGAGGAGCTATAGGAAAAGAGATGGAGGGAGAAATCTGGAATGGAAAGGATGTTCCTCTTCCCCCATGGATCAAAAGGAGAATTAAAATGTAGCCTTCATAGTCTGTGAAATACTGCCATTTTTCAAGATGCATTCTTCATCCCCTGACAACAGCAAGGTTGGTTTTTTTCCCACAACAAAAAAACCTTAAGAGACCCTCTCTTATAACTGCATGATTTCAGCTGGCAAAACCTTTAGTTTTTTCCCTTGGGCTCAAATAAGAAAATGGGTTTTGAGTTTACTTCCCATGTTTCTTGATATAACCAGACTTGGATGACAGCATCTTATTCTAAAGACTTTTGATTTTGATTCAGAAGATCAAAACTTGAGAACAGAGAATGGAATAGATCAGTCTGGATTGCAACCTTCATTAGACATCTTTATTTTCTGGGAATTTCTAAGGCTCTAATGGCCCCTCAGAACAATTAATTTTTGCACTTTTGCTTTCGTGTATTTTTATTTATTTTATTATTCGTATTTCTATGCCGCCCACTCTCCGAGGACTCTGTGCGGCTTACACCAAAGACAGTATACTAAATAGCATGTTGCCCCCAACAATCTGGGTCCTCATTTTACCCACCTTGGAAGGATGGAAAGCTGAGTCAACCTTGAGCTGGTGAGATTTGATCTGCTGATCTGCTGAACTAGCAGTCAGCTGAAGTAGCTGCAGTACTGCACTCTAACCACTGCGCCACCTTGGCTTTTCACTAAGACTTTTAGGCTGAGCTTTTGCACTTTTTTGTTCTTGGATTTGGCTGATGGCAACCTAGCTTTCTTCTCCATGAGTTTCTGAAATTACTGTTTGAAGATGACTTGTATGGGATAGGAATTAAGAGTGTCAGTTTAAGACTGAGGGATTCAGAGGCCATGAAATTCATTGAGGAACTGCGGTGGTCATCATTTTTCAACCTAACTTGCCTTGTAAGGTTGCTTGGGAAATGAAATGGGGAATGGGCACCTACTGCTTTAGTTGTTCAAAGAGGGCAGAGATCAGGCAGCAACCTCAAGAAGGATCATCAAAGCTTGTGACTCCAGATGGCAACAGCGGTTTAGCAATTCCCAGAAAATAAAGATGTCTGCCTGATGAAAGTTGTAATCCAGACTGATCTGTTCCATCCTCTGTTCTCAGGTTTTGAATCAAGTTGTCTGAATCAAATTGTCTCTGCAATAAGATGCAGGTGTTCAGTTTCCATAGAAACTAACAACAGTCCCTTGTCTGCAACTGTTAAGACATTTAAACAAAGTGAAAGAAAATATTTGAAATCATTTTTGGCTGTTATTTGGGATCTTATACATATTATTGAATAATTTATTCTGTTGCAAAAATGGTTTATATTCTTATATATGCAATACTGCATATAATATAACGATATAATATCACAATACATATATTAAAATAAAAAATTCAATAATTATCAAGATATAAAAATGCAATTTTGAAAAATTATCCTATCTTTATTATTTTAATAAATAATTCAAAGTGATGAACATACCTAATACTCCTACCACTTCTTCTTATTTTTCTCACAACAATAACCCTTTGAGGTGAGTTGGGCTGAGAAAAAGTGACTGGCCCAAGTTGGCCACCCAGCTGGCTTTCATGCCTAAAGCAGGACTAGAAATCATTGTTTCCTGGTTTCTAGCTGGGTACATTAATCACTAGACTAAACTAGCTCTGAATACTTATTCAGCTAAAAATCTAAAATCATATATATGGGTAAATTATCTACACAAGTACATACATTCTTAGCCTTGAAAACTGCACTGAAATTTTAATGAAAATCTGTGTCATACTTTGAATAAATAAATACAGCTTGTTCAGTATATACAGTTTGGCCATTGTTTTAAAGAACAAAGAAAACTAACGCTGTGAATTCTTATCTTGGAATAATTGAATATATTGGGAATATGAATATATTGGGAGTTATATATGTAGAACATTATAAGATTGCTTTGCATCTGAAATTTAAAGCAATGATAAGGTTCCACATGTTTTTAGGAAGAAAACTGAAATGCAACTCAAAATGGGTTTTGAAATGGGTTTCAGAACTTCAGAAATGGGTTTCTGAAGCCAAGATCACAGCTATGATGATCTGTATCATTTATCTTCTAGCAGAAGTTTTAATTCTGTGTTTGACTGGACTTGCAACTTCTGTTCTTTCATTTTTGTTTCAATGTCCACATATATTTCTCCAAAGTGAATATACCTATATGATCATGTGTCATTTGTCACCATTACATATCAAGAACTACCGATCCAACTTGCATGGAAGTTGGAAGTTGTCTGTCAATTTCTTCTGATTCTGATACACAAAATCCTTGACTTTGTGTACCAGAATCAGCCCTTGGCTTAATTAAGTCAAGGACTTAATTAAGTTGACATCATCAAGGCATGATTTCTGGAACTTACTTTCCCCTTTCCAAGACCTGAGTAATTAAATAGTTGTGGTTTTTCTCACGTTTCTTTCTGCCTCAAGTGCTATTATGATATTAGTTTTATGCTAATTGATTATATTAATTATTTAAATATCATCACCCTAACTTGCAAGACAGTGATCACATCCCATTGAATTGTGAGCACAGGCAGTAGAAGATCCACTTGATCTCATTGATACCTCAGCCTAAACTTTCAACTGAGAAGACATTCCCTGAATATTCCTGACATTCCAAAAACGAAGGTACTGTACACAAAGACAATCCATACCGAGGGAGACATTCCTCAAGAAACAGATAACAAGGGTACTACCTAGGACTTAAAAAGAAGATATATAGAACATCTAAATTAGAGACTGTGATTTGTCTTTTGGTATTAATTTTCAAAAAGGAGCAGAAAACGGGTACAGGTTTGTGTCTGTGTGAATAAATGCATGTATGTATGAGTGTTTAAAGAGAAAGAATCTGTTTTCCTTGTTTCAGGTTCTTTGAATAATTCGTTATTCTTTTTTCTGTTTACATTTTGTTTCTTAAACCTCTTGTTTTAATATAGTGTGGTTTCTTGTGGTTTCTTCAGCTCTTCAATTACAGTACTTATAGGCATGTCATTGCCCAGCAGTGATTTTAATATAAAGTAAGTTATTTGTATTTTGCAAATTTTATATGTTATATCCTAGCTGAGAACATTCTACTAGAGCCCTTTGTGTTTTATACTATTTTACCAATATCAGTCTATTTATTACAAACATGTTGTAATCTAACATTTGATTATAGCTGAGTTCATGTGTGCTTTGCTGCTAGAATATTTATTGTTTGCTTATTTATTTCCACTGACACAACTTTCCCCAACCAACCAGCATCTGAATGGAATGGATCATAAATCTCAGTATCCCAAACTTCTGTCTGCCATAGCAAATTATCCCAAAAGTGCTTTTTCAAATGGCAACTGGACTTTCTTTGTTTTTTCCTTGAAGATGTGTCCCTTCTCATGCAAGAAGCTTTTCAGTTCTGAACTGAAGTAGCTTTTTTTTTTTTAAATTTGATTTATATGCCACCCTTCTCCGGAGACTCAGGGCGGCTTACACTGCATTAAGCAATAGCCTTCATACTTTTGTATATTTATACAAAGTCAGCTTATTGCCCCCACAAACTGGGTCCTCAATTTACCTACCTTAGAAAGGATGGAAGGCTGAGTCAACCTTGAGCCTGGTGAGATGTGATCTTACTTTTAATTGCAGACAGCTGGAGTTAAATTACAGTGCTCTGTCTGTTGAGCTATCCAAGCTATCCAGCTTCTTGGATGAGAAGCGAAACGCCAGGAAAAAACAAAGAAAATCCGGTTGTCTTTTGAAAAAGCACCTTTGGGACATAATTATGCAAGAACTATGTACTTCACTCTGTAGACGAAGGGCAAAATAAATAGTCTTTGTAATGGATTGCATGAGCTAAATTACTAGAACTGAAATCACATTTAAATCAATGGGCAAAACTAATCTGAATTTGTTAATTCCATTAAATGGAAATTTCTAATAGCTAATTTCATCCAAATCCATGACTTGAATTACAACCCACCCCTCACCCCTCCCTTCTTCCCTCCCTCCCTCCCTCCCTTCCTTTTTTATTTTTATTTTTTTGATTGATTAAATCCTCAAGAGCAATTCAAGCAAAAAAGGCTAGCTTTTAGGAAGCTCAGAACATGCTATTGGACATACCCAATTACTTCAGTGAACAGGCCCCCACATGCCACTGTTAATTCTTCTCAACATTTTGCTATAACAATTGGCACATGATATTGCATGAAATTTAACATAAAACAAATAATTGGTCAGGTTCCTAAGGGTGTTGGCATTTTCCAGCATCTTCCCATGACACATAGCAAGGAGGCTTTAAAAAGAGTTGCATGAGTTCTATGAAAAGGAAAACAAGTCCAAGAGCCCCCTCAGTAGGTCCGGCCTTCAGCTCATTTTGTTCTCTGGTTTTCTGAATATATTGTTCGTTTATGTGATTACTATGTGTAGTACTAATTTACGTAGTTTCATTTTGATAGAAAACAAGACATATTAAAAAGAAGAAAATAATTTTGGTTTTCCACTTTCTAGCTTCCACTTCTAGGTGGAACTAATTTTCTCCTTTCATTTTTCTCTC